AAAGCTTGCAAGATCGGGAGGGTCTCACGAGGCTATAAACATTTAGGAACACAAACCTAATTCAGCTGAACACGTATTTTGCTACAGAAAACTTCCCAGTCTTGTATAGATGTTATTAGTGTGGTTAAAGGGTAACCCTGGCCCTTTACAAAGTTTATCCTGATCTATTTATTTGATCAGAGGAGTAAACGGTCAACACTGTACCACATTTTTTATCTCAGATTTGTTCCAATTGTATCCATAGTGAAAAGATTTTCCATTGCATTGGTTTAAAATAGCAGCAAATAAAGAAAATCTTTCTCTGGACGGACCTTGTGTTCAAGCAAAAAAAAAGGGTTTTCAGTTTTCAGGATGTAATCTGTTCAACCTCAAAGGCCCTGGTTAGATAAAAGTCTGGTTGGAGGTAGGTCTGATGCAGACGCTCCTCATCACTGAGAGGTCATGTAAGGGGAGAAGCTGGTTTGACAGTACAGTCATTATGTATGAGGAGGCAGGAGGGGGGAATGTGTCTGAAATGTATGTATTAGTTGTAACGTGACCACTGCTACGTCCTTGTTTGAAGTGTTAACATGGCTTTGATTTATCAAGGTTTCTGACCTTGGCCAATTACTTACAAAGCCCCTCCTTTCCCCCCCCCCAAACGGAAGAACGTTTCACCTTCTGTCTACCTTTGCTGCTCGCCTTGCACAAAAAGTCCTTGTTAATCGGTAAGAGTCCTTCACTATTTCTTTTCTCTTGTATTTTGTTTTGCTTTTATTTATAGATCTGGTAACTTTTTCCTTTGGTAAGTTATAACTCTGCTTTGTCCTCAGTCTGCCAGGGAGCCCTTTATTTACTTTAGAAATCACCAGGGGTCTGACAATCAGGCCTGACATGCATTTGCCTATTCATCTTCCTATCCGCAAGGGGCAGAAATGAAGGATGGTCTTGGAGATTTGGCTGGCACTCCGGACTAAAAGGTCTGAAAAATTGATAGGTTTGTGGAATTTACATATCTATTGAAGAGATGCGTTCTATGTTGTAGGCTTGAAAGCACCGTTTCTGAATAAAATATGACTGTATGAGCAAAAAATGTTGACAGGACACTTGTCCAAATGAAGCTATGCATATAGCGGCTTCTTTAGCTGTGATGCAGAGGTCAAAGGAGTTGATTCTCAGATTGATGTAGGAAGACATTAGTGGAAGCTTATTTGTATGCATCAAACAGCAATATGATGGAAATCAGACTTAGGAAATCACTGTGGTATAAATGAGTGAACACTGCTCTCTGGTGGCCAGTTTAAAAAAAGATACTTAAATCTGTGATCTTCATTTTCTGCTTTCAAATAGCAAAAAAGAAAGAAAAAAAAAATCAAGACTACCCATGAGTATAAATGTCCATATTTTTACAGTTGAAAGGTTTGCATTTTTAGGCAATGAAATGTAAAACAATTCATCTGTGGGAAGGAAGAAAAGGCAGCGAAGGTGTCAGCAGCTGGAAACAAAATGGATGATCCCTAAGTTGATTAAATCACATACAAACACAATGGAGGCACACATGAGGAGGTGACACGTACACCGAGGAGAAGGCGCCCATTTGAGGTCCGCTCGGATGCTGTTTCCCCAAGGGCAGGGGGTTAACAGGCAGGCCGGCGAGGCAGCAGCTGGTGTCTGCTCAGGGCTGCCTCTGAGGACCCTGATCAATTCTTACATTTCAGGGGGTAAAAATGATGAGAATCCAGCACTCAGAGAAAGATGGATGGGAGAGAGTGACTGTAAACACACAGATCAATAGTATTCATAGCTTTGAGGAGAAAATGCGTCAAGTAAAAGCTTTTTACTTAGAGGATCTGAAGGATGTTTAGAAAAGCATCTTTTGAGTCCTGTGAGGAAGCGAGGGATGTTCTGTACTTTCATTAGTGAAAAAAAGAGGGGAAAAAAGAAGCATATAGTCTCCAGGTGGAATACATTTCATAAAAGCATGCATATGCAGCCTTTATTGCACCACCGCAGACAGAAGCTGCAGTCACACTTTTTATCTTTCCTCCATGTTTATTGGTACATGCAAAACAAAAGCCATGTGGAACATTGATAAATGACACCAGACAT